TTGCTGTTAAATTCTGTAGTGGTTTTCCTGTAGGGAAAATGACATTGACTATTAGAGAAACCCTTCTAAAGGTGAAATGTCTGTGGCAGATGTCTCTTACCTGAGAAATGTAGCCAAGATCAGACAAGTGTTCCTATTCCAGAAGTCTGGACTAGGAGCCAAACACCTGACAGACACTTTTATTTCTTAACTTCAGCTCTGACATTTCAAACTACTTCAAAGTTTGTATAAATTTAACCACGTATTAACAACCAAAATTTAAACAATGAAACTTTATTATAAAGCCTAAGAGAGGAATAGCTGGTGCAAACACATTAACACATAACCTGTTTTCTTTACAATGTTTACTAAGCAGATTTTATTTTATTTTATTTCCTGATATTAACCTCACTCTCTGACAGAAGTACTGCCAACAATAGACATGATTAAGCTGATAGAGGCTGCTGGTGGTTACCTCAGTCAGAACTGACCACAGGGCATCTGGGAATATAGTTTTCACAGTGCATACCTAATTATATCTCTGAAATCATTCTGTGAAGCAAATGGGTAAAAACCCCAAAATGCTATAAACAGTACTGGTCTCTACCTACATAAACCCAAGACACGAACAAAAAGATAAATCCCCAGAAATAGCACTGGGGCCTGAATCACCAAACTGACACCAAGAACTATGTGAGTGAAGTCTTTTTTTCCCAAATGCAATGTATCTCATTTTGAACCAAGATCTTTTTCTTTTGAAGGGATGTGTTTGTGGTCTATTTTGGTCGGGATATTTTTATTTAAAGCATGAAGTGAGTGAGACCTGTTGGGCTGGAGAAATAGGAATGGAGTTCCAAGTCAGTAGAGAGTCCTGAACATATTTACCCATTTCCACCTTCAGAAATAAGGCCCTGAGCTAAATTCTGCTGAAACAAACATGCACATCACTAGTAGTTCCAGCAAGGTGAAGACTTTCTGTTAAAATTTTACCACTGTGTGGCATCCCCCCAACTCGCTAGGCCTATAATAGTAGCTGGAGTAAAAGATTAGTCAGTTTAGTAAAAATGAACAGTAAAACCAGAGCTGGTCTTTTGCAGGGAAAAGGGCCTTTTTCGCTCACTGCTCAGCATGAGACCAAACTGCCAGTTTCCCAGATCCCTGCTGCCCCATCTGCTCCATTACAAAGTCTATGAATGTAATAAAGTATAAAGGTTCAAGTAATGCAACATCCACACCACCACATCTTGACAAAAGTATTTCATTTCTCGGTTCATGACTTCTAGTTTTAAAATATTTCTAGAATTGATCTATTCGTAATCAACCAAAGATTTATATGTTTGGATGTACAGTAAAACGTACAATAAGACCAGGACACCTTTGCATTTATGGCAATGCAGTTTGAAAAGCATACTTTAGGAATATGGCATATTACAAAAATACTTCTGCCAACTTGAGGGAGGCCTTTGCCTTGTTTGCAGTGAGAATTTACGAAGAGTATGTTGGTTCGTTTTATAAACAACATTCTATCCCCTTTACAGAGTTTTCTTTATCTCATCAGAGAGATTTACTGAGTATCATAAGCTGCAAAGGGACTAAAATGGGAGAAAATCTCTCACAGCTAATTGCAGCAAAACCATCTGAATCCCATGAGACACAGAAGACAATCTGTGTCCTAAGGAAAATAAGAAATTATGAGGAATTTGAAGTATGCTGTGCTATTTCAGTTGAGAACAGGATAGCTAGAAAAAACAAATATGTGAAGGAAGTGACTGTCTGATATTTGCCCTTTGTTCTAATGCTAATTCTATTCTAATTCTTCTCTGCTTTCTTTAGCCTCTCTTTCTCCAGCTATGCAAGATAACAATTTCCAAGAACCATAAAAGAGAACAGAAACACATTCATTTAATTGTCTTATAAATTGAATTATGATTTATGACACATTTTACGTTTCACAAGTAAGATGTTATGCAAATTCTACGCAGACCCTTTTATTTAAAGAGCTTGCACAAAATATTCCTACTTGATTTTATTTCTGAAGTAGACAAACTGAACACATGTACCCATGTCTCAAACACCAGGTAGTACACGCTTAATTATGTTCAGAAATCTAATCCCTGAATTACAGAATGCATCATAATTTATTTCTACATTAACAAAAGTGTGCTTTAAAAGTGATGGACCATCCCTTACCATATGCTTTATGGTTCTCACATTTGTATTAACAAAGAAGGAACAACCATCTTGAACAGATGAATATATAGCCATAGATAATTTTTCTTTCTTATCCATTCTTCCAGATTACCTCAAATATAGTAGAATTCTTTTACTATCTGCTATCATATAAAAAAGTGTATTAATATATTAAAGACAGTTGCCAACATATAACAAGTAATCAGTTCAAAGATCCACCTGGCTGAGCATTTTGTGCCTGACAATGTCCACTAACCCTGCAACAATTGAGGAATGAAGGTAAAGACAAGGCAAATACTGAGTTATACTTCCCTCTGCTGTACTCTTTCAGCTTCCAGCAAACTGCTGCTGTGGGAATTCATGCAGTAGGATGTTTCATCTGCATCATTAAAACCACTCTTAGCATTAGCCCAGCGTTCTGAATTAATTGTAAGATGTCACATCAATTAATATTTATCCATCCAGACCAGATCATGTATTGATCCCCTCAAACAGAAGGCTGAGTGTCAGGGTTTTAAACAGTGGAGTGATGGAGTTGGTGCACAGATTCCCGTTTGGTAGTTGCATCTTTTGGGGTAGGAGATGATGGTACGGTGCAAATAGCACTGCAAGGCAGCTGAGATGAATGCTTATAAAGAAAAGACTGTGGGATAGCAATGCCTAAGGTGTGGGCTTTGGACTGGACAAAACCAGTTAGGAAATTTGTCACAAAATATCCTGGGTATCCAGAGACTGAAATTCATTTTTACTCTGCTCATCTCATCTCAATTCACTATGTCTGAGCGTTTCATATGCACAGAGTTTTGTTGAAGATAAAACTCCCAGACAATATTAGGCAAATGAATTTTGGGTGGGTTGGAAGCTGGAAAACCACCATCTTCCTTTTCCCACTCATCTTTGTCTAAGAAAATGAAAACAAAAAGTACTTAGCTGTTTCACAATTGTCACCATACTGCAAAATGGAACATGATGAGGGCTGGGATGATATGTTGGGCTTCTCCTGTTTGTCTGGTGCAGCAATTTGCACTTCTGGAAGAGCCACTTACTGACTGCCACTCCAGAGCCATGTTTTTTCCCAAGTCCATGGATTTCACTCCAGGACAGCATGCTCACAGCTAAATTGGAAAGGAAATACCTTAAAAGCTTTGTTGGTGGGGTGTAAGCGGGACACTGTCTTTGCATACTGCCTCTTTCGTGATGTGTTTAATTCTGTCCATTGGTGTGAGGCAGAAAAACAGACAAATCCAAGGAGACCAAAAGGAGAAATATGGGTTGGCGACTGATTCTTCAGAGCCTGAGTTATCTTTTTGTAATGTGATGTTTACAGGTTTTGTCAGGTATTTCCCATTCTAAGCACGTTGTGCTTCACCTCAAAGTTACCATCTATCAATTGGAGTATTGAACGGTGATGGAAGGCAAAATCTGAGAACAGGATTTTCAAGAAATGCCCTTGGTGCACTGGAGGTATAGAGGACCACAGAGATTATGCTAATTCCCAACCCCCAGGAGGGAGGATGTTCAGGCTGTGCAGCTGTATCTGTCTGGACAAGGCTACACGTTTTCCCCCATGTTACAATTACATCCCAACTGTCTGTGGCAGTGACTGTGCATGATAGGGACAGATCAGAGTACTGAATAAGTGCAGGCAGGAGCTGCATGAAATATGGTTAAGTCAGAGCAAAATAACAATATGGGATCACAGGAAAGTACTTCCAGCAGCGCTTCCTGCAGTGGTGCTGGACACAGCTGATCCTTGTCTAAATTTGCCTTTAATCATGCTCAGCATCAGTCTAATGTTTCCTCTGCTGCTCCTGTTGCCTGAAACAGATGATTTCCATAGAGAACAGCAAGTTTTCCTAGTCGTGATCCAGCTGACTGAAAGCTGCTGAATGTTACAGAGGCACGTGGGTAGAGTCACCTCTGGAACGGTCAAGGTCTGGAAATGAGAAATTTGTACACAGTTTTGACACTGTCCAATGCCAAAATGCAGATTGGTAAATTCTGCATCCCCCTATTTACCCTCAGCCACCTCAATGAATTTAGGATCTTCAAAAGGCCTGAGCAAAGCAGGCCTTTGAGAATCTCATCTTGAAATGACCAATAGTCACGAAAAATAGGATTGTGTACTCTGTGTTTTCCCAAGGTAGAACAGTCTATTATTCTACACTGTCTGTGTGTGGCTATTTCTTTTACTTCTTGCTGCCTTACCCCTAAGCACAGGTGAGTGAATAGTACCAATGTGTCCCAGGAGTAGCAGCTGCAAAATGTGTCTTTTCTTGCAGTATTTTTCATGGAAAAAAATATTGGCACAATGTTTTCATGCTACCATGACTAATATCAAGTGCTGTTCTTGGACATTATTCTAATAGTATAAAAATATATATATAAAATTTAAAAGGTGAAGTTCTATTAATACCATATGGAGTAAGATTAGCCCCTGATGCTCAAGTATTCACAAAGGCAACAAATCCTTCTATTTTCTCCTACCCAAAGCAATAGCAAAATAGACATAAGCTGTGTGATTACCAGTCTGAGGGTGATGGAATTCAAGGTCATGTTGAATTACTAATCATCTAACCAGCACTTGGAACACACAGCCGCACATGCAAGGCCAACTCTGCTGAGTTGTGCTACAACAGCATAGTGGTAACAGGGAAGAAAAAGAATTTCTTAAAATACCAATGATTTTTCTGGTGCTCATGCTATATTTACCCCATATTTTTATGTACAGATTAACTCTAAATTTTCTATATTGTATCTTCAAAAACAAAACTCTGCCGCAGTCAAATGGAGTTTTAAGAACCCACAATTAAATGGTGTGATTCAGTGTTTTTAAATTCTCAAGTGTGATGCTGTGGGGCAAGTCGCAGGATTTAAATAGAGAAGAACTCGGTACTAACTGCTCATTTATTCCTGTCTTCACTGCCAGGAAGAAGAAATGATACTCAGTAAATTCATGTCTTTGGCTCACCACAGGATGACATGGGGCTGGATATTCACTCCCAGATCATCTGAGATCCATTGCATAGCTCACCAGCACAGGAACATGTCCTCTACCCACCTGGGCTTTCTGCTAATGCTCTGGGCTGTTAAAGTCTAAGATAAATGAACTCTGACTTTCTGTTCTACCAGGATTTGGAAATTAGACACGAGCCTCTTGCTAATGAGGTGTAACCATTTATAGCAGTGGTTTTAAGGGACTCCTGTAGCATCCAGTCCTGCACAGAACTGCCCTAGGTTCATCACTTTTCAGGCACAGATGCCCACAAAAAGGAGTAAGAATTTGAGTTCCAATTAACAGCTAATATCAAGTACTTGGCCTGATGCCACAGACATCCTACAGTGTTACAGTTCTAGTATTTTCCAAGATGAATTTCCCTTTAAAAAATGTATTGCTAGTCCTTCTAGATTGCAAGTGTTAGCTTTGTATGCATTAAATTGCCTGAATGAGCCCCAAGATAGAGGTTGATGACATTTCTCAAATGAAATAGCTTTTTCCAGAATCTGCAGTTTCATCAGAGTTTGAATCAAGGTTGGATTTTGTTTTTGTTGTTGTTTTTTCCCAAAAAAAGAATTTTGGAAAGAAAAGCTGGAAGCATTATTTACTTATGAATTTTATTTCAGTCATATCAAAATAATTAATTTCAACCAGAAAAAACCCCTGAGTTTTGTCAGCCATCCTCAGGTATCTGACTTAGCCTTTTGCAATATATTATAATAATACTTTCATATAGAAATCAGAATAGGATAAATTGCAAGAGTCAGCATCAAATACTTCTGTCCTATTAAATGAAGCAAGTCATCACAGCTTTCTGGACTTGAAGGCATTATTGCCACACCAGCCCTCCACTTAAAAGTTAGAGGTTTTAAACTGATATTTAAGAATCTCCTAGAGATATTAGAATTCCCTAAGAAAGGGTAAATTTATTTTATGACCAGCTTTTTACAAATAATATTTTTCTGTAGTTCCAAATATCTGTGCTTTTCATTGGAAATGTTATTGAATTGTTGACAATATTGACATTTTTAATTAGTGTCACCAGGTTTCAGAGTAAACAATTAAATTGTTGATATTTTCAACAAGTCTACCTGGCTTCTCTGCTTATCCGATGGTCCCAAGTGCCTCCAAACTCTGTCAAATTGAAGAAAAATAACAGCCAGAGGGTCTGCTATGAAAACCTGCAAGATAATGAAATACTGAGATTGTAACTACAGTATTAAAAGATTAAAAAAGCAAAATGAAAGTAAATACAAGTGCAGCATTTAGATATTACATCATTCATCTGAATTCAGTGAGACTGTCAGTTTTAAATATAAATTAAGCTGCTACACAATTTCCTTTTTACCAGACCAGATTGTGAAAGAACATCTAAATTCTTCCACAGAAATTTATGTTTCATTCTGCTGCAGAGCACAAAGTGCTTTAATGCAGAGCACACAAATTGTCATGTTCTTGTCTGGGGAACAGTCTTGAAATCATTAGTCAGTTTGCCAGCATAAGGAACATAACACAGAATCTGTGAGATGCATATGGTAACAACTTAGAGTCTTATGACCAATCTGTTTTTTATAACAGTTTGTGAATACCTTTAAAGTAAATTAGATCTATTAATCTATCTGATTTTGAAAGGGGTTTTTATCTCATGTCAATTGTTTCTTTGCAGATTTGGGTGTTTTCCATTTTAAACGTATGTGCTGTGATTAGAATACCAGAGTGACAGGGATCATTAAAATAACATTTATCATCTTAAACTGTTATTGTTGGGTTTGGAACATATCTGGTTATTTTAATGTGCTCTCCTTAAAGAGAAATAAATTACTTCATTTTCCTGGGAAATTCCAGTTGGTTTTTGAGAAAGCCTTGCTTTGAGGCTTCCTATACTGTCTGCTTGGTTCTCATAATGTTTTTCATTCTTGTGTTTTGGTTTGGCAATGTCTATCTCCAGGAAGCCAATTTTGCCTGTGTGAGAAGACTGATGTGTGGCACAGTGCAGGGAAATATGCACCTTGTCAGAAAGGCCGAGCCCCACAAGAAAACCTGTTTGTTTAAAAGTGTGCAGCCCAGCTTTCATTTGCTCTAATTGAAGCATAAATGTCATTGTTCTAAGGTTCTTTAAATTAGGTTTATTAAGGTCTGTGCCACATTTTGGAATGCAATTAATGTGTGCCTAAGCTTTCCATTCCCTTTAATGTCACAGGGGATGTAGTTGATATAATATTGTTTAATATTTTAACAGAAGCTACAGAAACTGAGATTAGGCAAGTTTGTTTTAAATTAAAAGCTAAATAGAACTCAGTGAATCAATCTTTTTTCTGGCAAGAGTAATTTCTTCTGCATTTTATATTCCTTCTGTATATAACTCACATTTCAGAATCCTACTCCCTGGCATCAAGAATTTATACACAGTTCACCCGGTTTATGGGCAAGATAATTTTTGTCAGTAATTACATGAACACTAACGTTCACACAAGGGTCATGGGAGGTTATTTAAATTATACAGATGTCACACATATGTAAATGAATGCCCAGATTCTGCTTTCGTTGTGTGGGTTGGACTGTCAGCCGAGCACTGGACTCAAGATATTACTCTGAACACGAGGTGTAAGTGCTGAAGTGGGAGAAATGGGACACAGAAAACTGCTTTGATCGATCATTTTAAAGGGCTAACTAAGAAGACTTCATAGATCAGTTTTAAAGCAGGTTAATCCAAGTGCCTGCAGCATCACATGCCCTGAAATGTTTTCATTAAAAATAAGATGTAAGGATGAAATGCCAAGCTGTAGCATGACAGGCTGGGTATGGCTCTCCTGAAGTTCACACTCACCTATGGACTGCAGCAGGATGGAAATGGAGTTCCTAGAAGCACTAGCCTCCAAGTCCCTCAGTCATGTGAACAAGCAGGTCTGCAGGATCAGTTGCTTTGGACCTCCAGGAGTTCTGAGAAAACCAAATTATCCCACAGATACTATGACATCACTTTCTTACTGTCAACATGGTGCTTGGGTACTTTCAAAGCTTTAAGTCAAGAGGAAGCAATGAACAGGCGAGATATGGGGCTGATGCACCACGTAAAAACCCCTGCCATTTAAGATTACTTTTCTTAAAAAAGGTTTACAACTATGAGGATCTCACATTGCACATCTTAAAGTATCTTCTCTACTTCATGTTAGTATTGAATGGAATTCTGCAGTTCTTGCATAATGAGCAAGTGCTCATTAGTGCGGGGGTGTAAAGAAGTGTGCAGACGTGAGACCTTCTCATTGCAAGGAATGAGTATTAATGAGCAGTAAAATGAGAGGTACTGAATATCATTTAAACCACCAAGAGGGCAACTCTAGATAGTGTACAAGACCTGTGCTGAATGAGCCACAGAAAAAAGCACCAAAAATGAGCAAAATATTTTAAAAAGCATAATGTAACTTAACTATTAAGCTTATTTGCTTCAGTAATTTTGCATCTCTGTTCCGACACCATTAGCACCCACAGTATGTTAGGCTGCTCAATGTGCTGCATTGAAGTATTCTGTCTGTCAAGACTTGCATTTTGCATTCTTCATTTCCATTAAAGACACTGCTTGCAGCTAGGAAGACATTTGGGCTTCAAAGTCTGACAGACACAAGTGACCTTTAGCTTCACAGAGTCCTGGTCACAGGGACAGATCAGCAGAGAGGGATGGAGTGAGTTGCCCAACTTACCTCTAAGTTGATGAAGGAAGACCATGATTGTCGATGTAGGTGCAGAGCTTAGGACAGTGTAATTAATTTTCCTTTGAGTCTACTCCATTTATGAGTAACAGACTGACATAAGAAATAAGATCTAGATCAGTTTATTGTCAATGGTAATTTTTCAGTAGCTGCAGTCCATGAATCCAGTTTCCCTGCAGAGAAAGAATTATTTAATATCATCTAGACAAATAAGAATCTTAACTTACGACCTACAGAATAGCTCAAAACCAATTCATATTAGGGAAACTATCATTTGGATGGAAATAGGAACTCTGAGAGGCAAATGGACCCCCTAAGATGTGAAGGTAAATACAGTCCCAGTGCAAAGATTTCTGACTAATCACTAATTCATACTTGTAATGAAAAAGAGTTTAGGATCCACAAAAGTGAATCCTGGCATTGGTTATCTCACCTTTGATATGTTTCTTAGAGACAACTAACAGCATGTTAGTTAGAGCTTGCTGAACCAGTGATCCCTAAATATGAGGAATGCAGAGACAGTGGTATTGTTGTACCACTGTCTTATCTGGCAAAAGTAAGAAATAATGTCTACCCAGACATGAATTTGGCTGTGACACAGAACAGCACAAAGTCAAAAAATATTTCCTTTAGTCCAGTGGAATTACATCTGAACAGCATTTCCAGAAATGCCTTCTAAAAATCCCCTAATAACCTCAGTGGGTTATGAAGTAATGTTGGATAGCAGACACAGAACAGTGAGAGGTAATAATATACGTTGTTTGGTTTATTTATTTATGACACAAGATTACTGGAAAATGTGCTGGAAGAAGAAAATGCAAGGACAGAGACAGAGGCACTGCATTTGTATCCTATGGATCACATTAGAACAATCTGGGGATAAAACAGGGAGCCAGATTGTCAAAATGGTGTAAGTGGATGAAAATGATTTCTTTCTGTGAGCACCTTCTTTGAGAGTGGCTGTCAGAAGACAGGGCAAATGCAATTTTACCCTGATGTTCAGTGAGCGTGGGTAGTATTGGATAGCTGTGTAAAAAGATATTTTAGAATTTTATTGGAGCTAGGACAGCCTTCCCTCAATCCTGCAGTAGAATTATAGATCCAAATGAAGACACTTTTGTTTCACACATATCAAGGTGCTACATTCAGTGAGGTACTGTGAATGAAACATAAAAGCAGACTCTCCTGATCCTACTCATGTACTGTCTCCTGGTTGTAGACAATATTGTTCCTCTTGTCAAAATTTAAAATTACATTTACAAGTGGACTGAGAGTCTTAAATACTTTCAGCAAGCTGTTATGAAGTTCCTGATAACTCATCCTACCTGTTTAAGCATATTACCATTGATTTATCTATTCAGATATTTATTTAATCCTCATCTCTGTCTCCCATGTTCTATGTCAATTTTCAAAAAGGCACAGATTTAAAAAAAAAGTTTATTTAACCATTATGCACAACTCCCTGTCCTTTATCCAGCAATAACTGGCATCAGTGTCAATGGGAAGGCTCCAAATGACCTCAGTCAGAGATGCTGAGGACTTCTGATAATTAAAAATGTTTCGTTATTTATTTGTAATCCCATTTTTCCCAAGGGAGAAGGTGGTGAGTTCAAACAATTTGTTACATTTGAAAACCAAACACAATGCTTGCTCCTGTTATGCTGAATAGGAGTAGGAAAAAAGAAAGAGAATTCATGGCAAAGGGTCAAGAGTTGTAGCTGGAGACAAAGCAAAATTGCAGCCCAAAGCCTGAAAATAACTACTGGTAGAACACAGTGAACTTCCCTGAAACCAGACATGCTGCCTCCACTCCTCACACCCCTGAACTGACATCCACTGGTGCTGCAAAAGACACTGTTTCCATGTTTGCAGCCCCTACACAAATGCCTTTGTTCGTGAGGAAAAGTCACTGAGGTTTATGGCTGGTTCAGGGCATTTGAATACTAAAATACCACACTCTGGAGTGACTCCAGCCCTACCCCCTCACTGAGCACACTGGGCAGGGGGGCAGAGTAGGCTCTCTCAGAGTACCATCCAGAGCCAGAAGCACTAATACCATCTTCTTTTTAAGTCACCCTTCAAGACTCACTTTTTCCAAGTCCACGTGTTTCTTCCAGCAAGGATCCTGGTGAGTAACAAATCAAAGCTCAAAATCTGTGATGATTTAAGACCTGGCCTTCCCATGGGTTTCAGGAGGCTGTCACTGACTCCATTGTGATGGCAGTTTCTTGGGAGCAGTCCTGAGCCTTCCTTTTCCCTGCCTTGGGCTGAGAACATGGTTGGCCTTTAGCCAAGGTGCAGAGAGTTGCTCAGGTGGATGTTAATTTCGAGGAGGCAGATGAACAAGGATAATACATCGCTCTGAAAACTCTGTGGCAAAGTATTTCTTATAGACTTTATAATCCCCTGCTGTCCTGAGCAGCACAGCTTTATCTTCAATGGCTACATTAAGCTAGTTCTCTGCAGAGATGGAAAATCCCAATGCTCAGGCATTGCTCAATACTCCGTGCTAACATTAGCCCGTGGGTGGACCTGGACATTGAGCCCACACTGGCACAAACTGGGGCAGGTGTGTCCCTGTAACACCATTTTATTGAGGAGAGAGGGAATGGACTCAGCTACACCAGAAGGTCTGCAGGCTACTGCTCAGCAAACTGGATAGAAGCATATTTAGGGTTTTGTTTTCCAACTGCACATACTCCAAGGTGGAAGTCACTATCTAATGGTCCCTGTTCTGCTGTGGGTTGTGGCTCTGGTACTGCAGAAGGATTTCCTCTCGGAAAAAGTAGTATTTTCCTGAAGATCTGAACAAGAAATTCCAAATTCAAATGCAATAATTCAGTGCTTAGGTGAATGCCACTTGGATGAGCTGCTGTTATTGTTTTATAGCAAATATTTCTGTAGTATGTGGTGGCCAGCTCGCTGAAACATGAAAATAATGGCAATCCTTGCTCCATGGAGCCTTCAGCTGATGAGCCACAGCAGATAGACAACACAGATCTGTGGGATGGGGTGGGAGGTAGGCACGATGAGATTTCAAAAAAAAAAATCTCAAACAAACCCCAGTCAGAGAAACAGCTTCCAAAATATTTATTAAGGTTTTCAAGGCTTCAAAGATAAAAGAGTCATTCCAAACATAAACTCTCATCCCACACAGACAGTGCTTGCACTTACATGCTGTTGTCTCAACAAGCTTCTGTTTTCAGTAGAAAACCTTACTGGTTTTGAATATAATTGCCAGGAGACGAGTTTGGAGATGTGGTGTTGACTGCAGAGAAGTGCTGCATGTGGATGATCACAACTCACCAAAGGGCTGAGTATGGCTTGTCTTAGCCTGTATGGCTCAGGAGCAGTGTTAGAGGAAAGAAAGAAAGAAAAAGAGGAAAAAAGGGAAGGGAAAACAAAGTAAGTCACAATCATGTTCAAACAAAATGTGTTTTTCAGCAAAGTTCAACCTAAAGGCACTTACTTCCTAGGTAATTTGAATGAAATATATTATTTCATTTAGAATTTAAGCATATCTTGAAGACTTTTCTTTTTCCACCAGCCAATAATGGACAGAAACATCAGCTATTACTGCAGCTCAGCCAGTACACGGTAGCTTGACAAACATTACTTGGTGAACAAAGACATTATCACTCTACAGATCCCTTTAAATAGAGCTGACAAGAAATTTCTCCACCACGTAGAGAGAGCAGTCTGGCTAATGCAGGGAAATATTAGCAAAGAAAAGGGTGAATTCCAAACTATAAGGGAATTTCAGCTCCGAAATGCAGTTTTAGTTTGCCCTCTTCCTTGTCCACTGAAAACCAAAGTCTATCAAAAGCCTGATTATCAGTGTAAATCCTTATGGTAATCAGATTTTCTAGTTAACAGTATGCCCAGGTGCACTAGGACTTACTTCCACCTGCTGCTGAAATGAGCCCTGTGCAGGGGTGAGTCTCAGCCTACATTTTCCCAGTCTGTTCAGTTATCTCCATCTTTGGGCTCGGCTGCACTCCCTTCCTTTTTCAGAGTCTTCCTCTCATCCCCAGGCAGCTGCTCACAGCCCACTCCCTCCTTTCTTGTTCCAACGCAGTCCTTTTAAGATTCATATTCTTTTTGATCTCCAGGCTCTCAGACTTGGCAACCCAGCTGTGTGACTGCCCGGGGCCTGGAAAATAGCATTTTCCCGACTGATTATTGAGTTATTGTTATTTTAACTCCCTTGAAGTTGTTTACCCCAGGTATCATGTCTCGATCACTGTTCTGTTGCCCATTGGTTTCCATCTTCTCCCAGACTAAACAGCTTTCTTGGACTTAACTCTATAAATAATCTTCACATGCATAGGCTGAAACACATAAACTCTTCATGAAAGCAGTACACTTAATTCCCCTGGTTCTCCAAACCACGGGAGTTAAGATCAGTTATCTAGAACATTATACTAACAATTCCCAGATTTATGGGTTGGATCAGTGGTGGTAAAGGCTTCTGTGCTGCAGTGTCTCCAGCTCTTGAATTTGCTTTCCTTCATAGGTCTTCTCAGCTATTCATATAAATAGGAAGGTGAGGGAGTAGGTGAATTGTCATGAGATATTTTATAAACAAGTATCTTTTCCAAAAATCCCTAGCAGCCCGAGCTTTCATGCCTAGCATATTCATTTGCTAAAATTGTCCATTTGTTTAATATTTTCTAGTTATCTTTCTTTTCTTGTCCCCTGCAACTCACATTTTCATACCACTCCTTTTTATAAACCATTTGGTACTAAGAATATTTTTCCACTATGGCCCGAGGTTTCTTACTTTTTTTGATTCCTTTTAAAAAATGGTGGGAACTGGATGAAAGAGAACCCTTCTAGCAGAAAATGGAAAATATTTTTCAAGACCTCCTAAAATATACTATTTGTGGGTAGAGCAATGCACTGAAAACAGAAAACACTGCATCTTACTTCTTTGCCTAATTCCACACTTCTGCTACTTACAGTTAAAATGACATATACTTAAAACCTAAGTAAATGAGCATAAGTACCTGGAAGAGGAAAAATAACTTACAAATGCATTTCAAGTTTTCTGGGAAAATTTAGCTTTAATCAGTGCACATATCAGATTTAGCAGCTGTCACATCAGCAAAGTTGGATGGTGAACACCTAGGACATGATGCTACAGAAAGCTGCAGTGGGAACAAAAGAGGAGATAGGGCTGCAACAACTGTCATCAATTCTATTCTGTTCAGGTCCACATGACACTGTATCAAAGTCTTTTATATCTTTTGCAACCTTGAATATGCCTATGTACCCAGTCACTGCTAACAAGGTGACACACTGAGAGAAAGCCTTCCTAAAGTAGCCTGGATCCATCTGGAGTCAACTTCCACTTATGTCTGGAGCTCCCCTCATACCTGGTGCAAGGGTAACAGTTTTCTCCTGATTTAGCATTGGGGTGGAATTGCAACAGCTGTAGCTTTTGGGGTACTTGGTAAGAAACTTTTGGAACCACTGCAAAATCCACCCAGACAAAACATCCAACTGCTGAATAAAATGCAGTATCCCACTGCAGAATGAGGAAATGTTCCTTTGCAATGCAGGAAAACCATTCAACGTGCTGGTATTTATAAACAGCCACACAGTGCAGTCATGAGCTTCTGGAGAAGACATTCTTTCCAAGAAGAATGTAATTGTTAATCCACTGAGGAGTGAGTGGGTGAGTGCGAGAGACGGTGTGAACGTGTGAGCACAGCGGCCGTGGGAGGAATGGAGTGTGGCTGTCCTGTGGCAGAAGGAATGAAATGTGGCTCTCTTGATACAAAAGATGTGGATGAGAACTACAGCACTTACAGAGCTTCAGGACCATCTTTGTGCACTGATGCCATGGCAGAGAAAAGTCTTTTTCCAGCCTTCGAAGGCTTTCCCTTGAGCAACATTTGGGATAGGATGTGGAAACAGATTTTGGGATACCCTTGAGGAAAAGTCAGTCCTATGTCTTTGGATTATTCCAGACAATGGTACTCATTGAGAGGAATTAATTTTCTTTTCCCCTGGCAGTTGATGAAAAAAATCCATCAGTGTGGGATGAGTAGCAGAATGAAAGTTGTTATTATTGATGTGAAAGGCTCCTCAGAAAATGTCAGAACAAACTCTGATTCCCTTTTTATCTGAGTAGTGAATGAGAAAGTCTGCAAAGGGATTTCCGTGAAAATTTCTATCAGTCACATTGGGTTGGCTACACTCTCACAATCAACTGAGACAGGGCTCAGACTTTTTTATGTATTTTCTTTATACTGAAATATTTAGCAGCACTAAATAAATAACAAACCCTGATTATATCTTCAAATTTCAAAAGAAGTTGCAGGTCACTAAAAAAACTAAAAGCTCAAAAGCACTAGAAAACATTGTGTTACAATAACAAGGCTGAGATCTAGAAGGATTGTTTTCTGGTCTTTCAATTTGCAGCAGAGATCTAAAAACTATTTTAGTAAAGGACAGATAATCCTAATATGAGCAAAAATTAAAAGACATTTGTTCAGTACTGGGCCATTCACAGACACTTGGTAATAAAACAGCAAACAACTCGTCATTCTTAATGTTATTCTTCTCCAGGGAACTGAGCTTTTTGTTTGCTGTAATGAACTGTTATAATTGAGCTCAGTTTTACTGGAGTAGAGCTTTTTGCTTAAACAGCTGAGAAATGTAGATTTATTTTGATTAAAAAAGATGCTTGCAGCAGAATAAATGCACAGGCTATATAACCAGGACCTTCCATGTATGTAAAAAACCCCTACATTCAGTTACTTCTGCCTTCTATTTTATTTTTCAAGGAAAGGTATTTAATTTTCATTGCTGATATATGATGGGCATAGAAGATCAGCTGGCAGATATTATAATGAAGTGTTCTTTGTTTACAGAAAAAAAATTGTGTTCATGATTTTTTAATAATGTTTGACAGTCTCATCAGAAAGAAATGGAGGTCTCAGCTGGAATTGTTGTTTGTCATATGCCTGAGGCCTGAGGTTGATTTATTTTGTCACCAAGATGAGCTGATTTTATTTGAACTACTAACTGAAAGTTTTCTTGCATCCTTCGCTATGACAGTGCAATGAATGAAGTCCTAAAGCATGAGCTGCATCTCTCAGAAAACTCATTATCTTAATGCAGCTTTTCCCTGCACTGCCTGGTAATTTTTAAGGCCATAATGTTTTATAAGAAGATACATGTAGTAGATAAATCAAGATCTAGGGGTAACTTTGCTCTTCCCTGTACATCTGCAGCTCTAATCAGAGCTGATCATCTGTGCCAAATCAAGCGCTGACTTATAGAACAGACTAATATATAACAGGTACAAGAGTGAAATAAAAATCCTACTCATGCAGCTTCATCTCAGGCTCACAGTGAGGTCTGTGGTGTGGCTGGAAAATAAGCCCACAGGTGCAATTTAACTACCATCTTACCAAGCACATCAGCTAGAAAACCTCAGAGATAATAGTTCTTGTCTAAATTGGGCTTGGCATTCTGTTTTACAGCACCCCTTGGAAATCACAGAGGATAAGCCTGGAAAATTATTTTGTCTAATGAAAAAAATTTAAGCATTCAAGAGCTGCCTTTCATA